CAGCAACTTGTCTGTTCCCCTTCCCTCAATTCCCCAGCATTGTTCCCATCCCCCAATTCCCCAATAAAAATCTTAAAAACAAAACAAAACAAAAAAGAAAATGATATGCCTAGATTTAGATTTTTTTTTTAATTTTATTCTGCTTGGTGTTTTTTTGAGCTTCCTGAATTTGTGGTTTGGTATCTAACATTAATTTGGGGGATATTATCAGTCATTATTATTTCAAATATCTCTTTCCTTTTTCTCTTTCTTTTCCTTCAGGCATAATTTCACATTATGTTACACTTTTTGTAATTGTCCCACAGTTCTTAGATGTCCTGGGTTGGAGAGGTGGAGGTGTTCAGTTTTGCCATTTGCTTTTCAGCATTGGAGTTTTTTATTGAGATATCTTCAAGCTCAGAGGCTTTCCTTAGCTGTGTCCAGTCTACTAATAAGCCCATCAAAGACATTCTTCAATATTATTACAGTATTTTTTATCTTTAGCATTTTTTTCTGGTTCTTTCTCAGAATTTCCATCTCTCCACACGTTGCCCATCTGTTCTTGCATGCTGTCTATTTTATCCACTAGTGCCTTTAGCATAGTAATCACAGTTGTTTTAAATTCATGGTCTTATAATTCCAACATCCTTGCCATATCTAAGTCTACTTCTGCTTGCTCTGTCTCTTCAAAGTCTGTTTTTTGTTTTTTGTTTTTTTTAGTATGTCTTCTGACTTTTCTTAACAGCCAGAGATGATGTACTAGGTAAAAGAAATTACTGTAAATAAATTGCTATAGTGTGGTAATAAGGTATGGGGGAAAGGAAGTGTTCTCTGTGATTGTGTCTCATCCTTCAAGTCAGTCTGTACATCTGGACTGTAAACTTTACAAGTGCTTCTTAGCACCCCCATTCTTAAATTGGATAGTGGGTTACAGAGAGCTCGGACTGGGTATTTGTTTACTCTCATGTGAAAGGCTAGTGCATATTTCCTTTCCCCCAGGTTAGTTAGACTATAATAAAACCCCAGTGAGTTAGGATCTGGTGAAATAGTTTCTCATGAGGGAAGACCTTGTTATGAAGAACAGAATGCTGTGGTGTATTTCAAAATGGTTCCTTTTCCCTTATCCCTGCAAATATTTTTCTCAGATATTCACTGTGAAAACCTAATAGAGTTCCAAAGTAAAACTCACGGAAGTGCAGAGGGCCTTGATAACTGGGTCCTCCTGTAGGTTTTATGTCTCAGGCTTTTCTACAGTGAACCTCCAGCAATTTGTCAATTGCAATTCAGGTTTTTCTACTCCAGCACTGGCTCCTGGGGAGTTTTCAGCTTATCAGTTTCTGCTTTGGTAAGTTGTGATTCTCTGTATTTGCCTGGCAGTCTCTCAAATTTGGAGGGCAACAATTTGCCCTGTAACTTCAGTTCTCTTACAGATTTAAGAAGAATTATTGATTTTTCAGTTTGCTCAGCTTTTTACTTGTAGTTGGAATGGAGTAGCAACTTCCAAGCTTTTTATATGCTGGCCCAGAAATCATCCTTTTGCTTTTTAAAATATAGTTTCATTATATTTATAGTCCCTTAAAAGGATATCATACTGCATGTAGTTTTTTGGAACTTATCTTTTTACTTATTATATTGCTAAGTCATTCACATTTTTGTACTTAGTTATAATCAATTCAGTTGACTGATGTGTAATATGGCTTTATGTCATTATACTGCATTGATTTATTTTTCCTGTCAATAACAATTTCTAAAAGCCAGGTCATGAGACTTGATAGCCTGTGCTCTTTCCATTGAGCCAAACACTCCTCAACACAGAAGAGTGTTCATTTTACAAAGTGGCAAGTTCACCAGAATGAACTTGTTCAAATATGATCAACATATACAGCCTCTTTTTGTGAGTCCAGAAAATGCAGTTGGGGGAAGTGTGACATTAACAATTAAACTATGCAATTTGTTTGCGCCATGAATGCTTGTGTGTTTTGTTTTGCTTGCCATCATTGGTTCAGTGTTTATTTGTTCCTATTGTGTTCCAAAGACTTATCTTTCAGCATTTCAACATGAACTTAAGTCTAACTTTAAATATTTTTCTTTCTACCTTTTGACTTCTGAGTAAAAGTGACTCAAGGGAGGGAAATAGTGAAGAGATCAGGGGTTAAATAAGCAAACAACCAGTTATCTTGAACTCTGTAGCACAGAGCCAGTGTTATTTCTAATAGTGCAACAGCTGACAATATTGTTTCTTAAGAAAAATGAAATTAGTTCTTAGAAATGATGTATCATGCATGCTTATTTTAAATGAAAGAAATGACATGCATCTTAATTCTGCTGCAGTTTCGTTTGTATTCCTTCTGGGCTCTAAATGTCGTTGCTCTTGTTTTTTTAAACATGTCCTAGATTATGAATTGGCTTGTAGGGAGCAGAGGTCTCCCTGAAACCCCTGGTTCTTAATAGCCTCAAGAGAGGTGTTGCACAAGTTCTAAATATTCTGGTTTGAAGCCATGTGTTGGATGACTGTGTTGCTTTTGCAGCTGTAGTTTAAATTAGAAACATCCTACCTTCTCAACAGAATGTTTACAGAGATCAGATTGTAAAAAGGCTTTTTATAGCATATAACTTCCAAAAGAGGTATATTAGACCCTACTTGCTTGATTCAGGATGAGTGGAGTACAACAAAATTCAGATTAAAGAGACGTGTACCTTTGAGACTGTTTCTATAATGAGAAGCAATCAGTCTCGTCATGTTCCATTAAGATGGAGTGTACCATGAATTTAAATTTTACATTGTTCCTTTAAGAAAATCTCTCCTTCATTCTCCCCTCATGTCTTTGGGTGTTTTTTAAATTTACTTTAAATATTCAGATTTTTAAATTTTTTAATTATGAAATTCTGGTCAGGTCTGGTGGTAGAACAACATTGTACAGATTATAGGCAACTCATCCATGTTTTGATGCGTGAAAACTGAACCCAAGCCTCCCAAGCATGAACTTGATGATTTAGTCCCAGCACTGGTCCTACCACACACTCAAAGTGGGGCACATAAACACTTCAAGATAATTTTTACTGGGCTTCCACGACCTTGTATAGCCTGACAGCACAGCAGATTTGGGGTTCCACTTGAAGACTACAAGAAATTTGTTTCAGTAGATGTCATTCTAAAGAACTCTACTTTTAATTCACCAGTGGTATTGACCATCTGCTTGGGGAAACTTCCAGATGCTGCATGCTGCTTTGGGACGCTTGTGGCCTTACCTAATCCTTACTTTTCTATCCAGATTTTAATATTCATTCTTTTCTTCCTATCTTTGACATTTATCCTGTGGACTCTTCCTGAAGCATATTGTCTTTTCTCTCTCATAACTCCTGAAGATAGCACTTATTTATAAAGTTCATGATATAAAGACAAAAGAAGTGAATAGCATAAAGCCCTGGTTTTGAAAGGCAAAAATAAGGAGGCATGAAAACAAGTACCAATATTTCCTGATACTTAGGAAAAAAAAAGACATAGAACAAAGAAACTTGGAGACACTTTCCATATTCATAATATTGAGTTTAGGATGCAGAGTAACTGAATTTGAAAGGACAAATTTTAGAGTCAGACATAGACTCTAGTCTCAACTGTGTCCCATTTTATCAATGTGACCTTGAGTCAGTTATGTCCCCTTTATCAATCTCTGCTTCCTTATCTAGAATATTGGAACAATATTATAATATCATCTGCTACTAGGTTTGTTATCAACATCAAGCAGGAGAACAAGTATAAAGCTGTCAGCACAGGGCATGGCACATACAAAAGGCTCAACAAAGGTAGAATTTATTATTGTCTTACACATTAGTAATAAACAAAATGTACATGTAGTATGACTTGATTTTTACTTTGGGCAATCCACTTTGGGACCAAAGTTCCTCTAAAATGAAAGGGTTGGACTAGAAAACAAAAAGCCATTCTCTTAAGAGCCCCTTCCAGCTTACTGATTTCCTCTGGAATAGGATTGATAAATTGACTCACATCCTGAAAAGTTTATCTCATCTAGTCTTCTTATGAAGGGATAAAACAAAGTCCCAAATTCTAGAATGTCAGAAGGACAATGAAGTAGATTGGGAAATGGATGGAATTTCTTGTGGCACATGTCCCTTTTCTGAAGGGGTGAAATATTAAGCACTAGGAGCCTGCCTGACAAAGAGCAAGACAACCAAATATTACAAATACGTGTTTGGGTAAAAATTCAGCAAGAAATAGACACATTTATTTATATGTATCAATTTATTTCTTCATTCAGTGGATGAATGGGTAAATGAATGAGCCCAATCTGCTTAATTAAAATATCTATTTTCAATATCTTTACTGTTTCATTCTGTGAAATGAATGATTCAAGTTTGCTGAAGTGCCTTAGAATTGGAAAACCCTTACCTCATGCTGTTCTAGATAGTTGAAAGCAAAATAGTACTAATTGAGTCATTCTGAGGAGCAAGACATCGAATGGAATATGGAAGATCGCTACTTATTTTTTTTGTCTTCTCTCAAATTTAAGAATGAAGGGAAATGGTCACCTTTCTAATTATGTAGGGAACGGAATAATTATTTTTAATTAACCACATCTATAAATACTGCTCAAATATGGACTATGCCTACATGTTTATGATGAAGAAACCACAAAATCAGGGCTTAGACTGTGTCCCAACTCTGAATTGTTTGGGCAATGAGTAGATAAAGGGTGACACTAGGGTGTAGAAAAAATGACCAATAGGAACATATAATATTGTGGGGCTAGAATGCTTCTGGCTGCCTCTATTGACAATCCTGGTCTGGGGACCAGGAGAAACGTGATTCTCTAAATGTTGGTGGTTCACTTTTCTTAAAGACAGTTCACTGATCAGAAGTTCAGGGAATCCCAAAAATTCCTTGTCCCTTGTTGCACCCAATTTATTACACAATTTTGTGCACTCTTATGTGTGTGAGCCTTGTTTCTCAAATGACATCCACAATGATTTGAGATGTTTTTCATTTTGCCTTTTCAGATTTCAAGTTGGAGAATTTTTCAGGTCATAACAGGAAAATGCTGCTGATTTTGTTCCTCATAATAATTTGCTCCCATGTTTCTGTGAACCAAGATTCTGGTAAGGAAAAATGACGGAAAGAATTCTTTTCTTTAATTTTCATTTTGGAAAATAAATATGATTTTACCTACTTAAAAGTTGTTTTGTTTCACTTTGTTTTGATTTTGATAGTGGTAAGGGTGGGGTGGTAAATCAATTTCTTTTTCTTGTCCCCCTGTGTTCCTTTGAAGATCATTTTTTTGTGGACTGTGATAATGATAGAAAGATATTAGAGCTGTTACTTTGTCCTCAGTTTCAACCCCATTTAGGTCTTCTGGGAGGTTGCATAAATTTCTGTCTCTTAATATTAGGTTCAGGCCTGGAAAATTTGGAATGTCTCTTTCTAATTTATTTGTGTCCAAATATTATCTCAGTTAAGTATCCAGATTTTGCTCCAATTTAAACCATTTTTCTGCTTACTGTAAAGAAAGTGTTTTTACTCTGAAGAGAAAGCTCATTGCTGTCTACTGCTTGTCAGCAATCTATGTTCAGTGGACTTCAAGTCAAAACACTGGCCAATTCACTGCCTCTACTGCCTCTTAAATAATTAGTTCTTATACTGTCACTTCATGTCCAGGACCACCTATATTAGCTTTTACAATTTTCTCAGGGACTCTGATCTTTGTAGCAAGTTTTCTGAAGAGATGAACTAAAATTTTTTCCTGCAAACATCTTCCTTTGATGTTTCATGGTGCTTGATATTTTTAAAGAAAGGCAATACTTTTTCCCCAATTGTTTTGTGGTTCAGACATAGTGATGGACATTATCAGAGCCTGAATCTAGCTCACATGCTAGTTGTCTACATTTTCTTTCTCCACACAAGATGTGAAGGTTTATCCATGAATAGAAAGGTCACTTTTGGTCACAAGTCAAGCCATCCTGACAGACCTCATAGGGTTTCCAGCCTTCTCTTAGAGGAAGATATTGATTCACCCTCACTTATATCTCCCCATGAGATGCTGCTGGATATATGATCATTAAAGGGATCTCACATTGGTTGAAATTAGATTATTTAGAAGATAAGAAAGAATGATTTTATCCTCTATGCCTTGGTCAGGCTGCTATAAATAGAATGAAATAGGATGTGGGGGGTGGCCAAAGCTGTAGAGAGGAAAAGATTGATGTTATTGTAATTTGATTAGAATTTGTCTAATAATCATTTCAGATGATCAGAATCTCAGAGTGAGGAGGGACCTTAGATATTTTCTTATTAAATGTACTCGTTTTAAAGGTGAGGAAACTGAAGCTCAACTATTGGGTTGTCAGAAATGTCATGACATATTTTTTCTATGTTTTTTGTTGCAAAAATGCATCATGACTTTTCCAACAACCCAATATGTTGAATGGCTCAACAGAACTGGTAGAGTTAACTGATAACAAAGTCAGGACTTCCATTACTTGTTCAATTACACTGTGTTTTTTAAAATACACACCATCTAGACACGCAGAGACATTTCCCTTCCCCAGATGAGAAATGGATCTTAAAGTGATGAGAGCTCTGAATTCAAACCAGCAGACCACCAACAAACAACATTTTGTACTTGAACCCAGTGATTCTCTATCACATAAAAATGTAATTCTACATACCCAGCATTGAATCTAACATTGAATGAAGCCTTAAAAGTTCAGCAAAGTATTGTATTTCTATATAAAAATTATATTTTTAATAGAAACTAAGCGAAAATTCCTAAGTTAAAGTTTATTGGTTTCTATCACATTTTATGCGTGTGACAGTAAATTTACCAATTATAATGCTTACTCATATGATTCACCAAAAATTTTATAAATAACTTTAAAATAGATTAAGGCAATCCCATATTCTTATGATATTTCAGTATTTTTAAAAATTTATTTGACACTTTGGCATTAAAAAAACAATAATTTTATAAGTTAATCAGATGAATTGTTGGAGTGCTTAAATTGGAATCTCAATGAAAGATTATCTTTTAGATTTCTCCATTCAAACAAATTTGAAGCAGTTTAATTCTCAATTAAAATTTTTATCCCCTTGATATAAATTGAGGTCAAATTTTGATAGAAAAATTACAAAGGGAAATTATCCACTGAGTGTATAAAAACCCAGGATTTTCTATTTCTAATGAACTAATTCCTTGCAAAAGAGATGCTTACTTTTGCAATCAGTTCAAAAGAGAAGGTATCTAAAAGAATCTGCCCAAGAAACAAATATTTTTTTTCTTGAGAAGATGAGTAATTTCAGGCTATTTTCAGTTCATTGGGAAGGTATTAAAAAATACAGATGAAAGATGAAAGTTTTTCCCATATGGTTGGCATTAAACATGGTAGTAAATTTTTAAAGTTTATGCTTTGTTTATGTTTGTGTGTGGTTTTAGGCCCCGAGTTTGCAGATGTCGTATTTCTGGTGGACAGCTCTGATCACCTGGGTGCGAAGTCCTTCCCTTTTGTGAAAACGTTCATCAACAAAATGATCACCAGTCTCCCCATAGAAGCCAACAAATACCGCGTGGCCCTGGCCCAGTACAGCGACAAGCTCCACAGTGAATTCCAGCTGAACACCTTCAAGAGCAGGAACCCCATGCTGAACCACCTCAAGAAGAACTTCTCATTCATGGGCGGCCCCCTCCGCATAGGAAACGCTCTCCAAGAGGCTCACAGGACCTATTTTTCTGGACCCGCCAATGGGAGAGACAAGAAGCTGTTTCCCCCGATTTTGGTGGTCCTGGCTTCTGCCGAGTCCGAGGATGACGTGGAAGAGGCGTCCAAGGCTCTGCGGGATGATGGGGTGAGGATCATCTCCGTGGGGCTGCAACAAGCTTCTGAGGAGAACCTGAAGGCCATGGCCACAGCTCAGTTTCATTTCAACCTTCGATCCGTCAGAGACCTCAGCGCATTTCCCCAGAACATGACGCAGATCATCAAGGATGCTGCTCAGTACAAGGAAGGAGCAGTCGATGATACTCTCATCGAAGGTGGGCTTAGGGCGCACATATAGAAATGATGATAAAATGCTTTTGACAGATCAACATGGAGAGAGGATTGAGACTCTGTGAACATGCCTTCCCTCAAAAGCTGGGCTGCATTTTCAGATGTTAAATATCTGTGTGCTGAAAAGGGCCCGATGATTGCGGCCATTTTAAATCTAGTGAACCCCACAAGCCTTGGTTTTCCATGTTTTAACCATGCTGCACGTTATTTATAAGGCTTCTTAAAAATCAGGGATGCCTTCTCCCTGCTACCAGCTTCCCTCTCTCAGAGCTATCTCCCTGGGCTTTATTTGGTAATTTTATTTGGTAGTTTTATTACTGGTTCATTTAAAAGGTAATTTTTTTTTTTCTGTTTCTGAAAGAAATCCTTGACTACAGAAGTCACGTAATGTAAACACAGAATGTTAGAGCTGGAAACAACTTCAGGTAGCCCAAACCCCCTGTTGTGAAGGTTGGAACTGCAGGCATGCTTAGAGGTGTTAACATGGCTTGGCCCAGGGCCACACTGGAGTTTGAAGTCAGAGCTAGGTCAGGTCTCTTGATTCCCAGACCCATGCAGTTTTGGCCCCATGCTGCCTCCCTTCCTGATTCTCTTTCTGGTCTGTCCCCTTGTACTATTCTATTAACTAATAAAAAAAAGGCCAAGAGTTTATGAATATCATTCAAGTGAGGAGCAGGGGAGAGCCAGTAAAAAACAATTTGCTCAAAGTACACCAGTCCAAATAAGTAACATAGGAAACTCCCATTATTTCTGATTAAATTGAATAATGACATGACATATATCATTATCTATTGTTAACAGAGAATGTTTTTCTGGTGGTAACCTGTGAAAATATGAATCCTATTGCTAGCATCTTCCCCAAATAAAATAATGGAAAATGCGGTTGCATTCCATTACCATCCCTGAGGAATATTTGGACTATAACTGCTGATTTTAATGGTGATGATGCTTAAATGATTTTAATATATAGTAGTCGCTGCTGTTCATTTAATGAGTTATGTACCAGGCTCCATGCTAATCACATGGACTCATTTAATCCCCAAAACAACTCTATGAGATAAATATTATTTCCATTTTATAGATGAGGATATTGAAGCTGGGCGATTAGCTAAGACCTAGTATTTGAACCCAGGACCCTCTGATCCCGGCTTCATAATTGTTTTGTATACCTCCTTGTTTCTTTAAGTACATAATCAAGCTCTGGTAGATGTTCTCCATGCCTTCAAATGCTGAGCAGAGATGCTGAACCTCCCACTCAAATTGTGCTTCCTCATTCCTTGCCCTCACAGTTTGCCAAGGCCCTTCTGTGGCTGACGTTGTGTTCCTGTTGGATGTGTCCATCAATGGCAGCCAGGAGAACTTGGACTATCTTAAAGAATTCCTAGAAGAAAGTGTCTCTGCTCTTGACATAAAGGAAAACTGTATGAGGATTGCCCTTGTGACTTATAGCAATGAGACGAAAGTGATAAATTCACTGAGCAGGGGCATCAATAAGTCAGAGGTTCTCCAGGATATACAGAAGCTCTCTCCCCAAGCTGGGGAGGCCTACACTGGAGCTGCCATTGGAAAGATCAGGAACGAAGTCTTCAGGGCACAGAATGGCAGTCGGAAGAATCAGGGAGTGCCCCAGATTGCTGTGCTGGTGACCCACCGACCATCGCAAGACAATGTGACCGAGGCAGCCGTTGACCTCCGGCGCCAGGGCGTGACCATCTTCACCATGGGCATAGAGGGGGCCAGTGATACCCAGCTGCAAAAGATAGCATCACACCCCACTGAGCAGTACGTCTCCAAACTGAAGACCTTCTCCGACCTGGCTGCTCACAACCAGACCTTTCTGAAGAAGCTGCGAAAGCAAATAACACACACAGTCTCTGTCTCTTCAGAACGGACTGAAACTCTCAAATCTGGTAAAGTATTTTGCTGAGAGAACAATTATTCAGAACCCTGTTCTTTTTTCTTGTCTTTTAGGTATTCAGAAAGGAATTGGTGGGTGTGAGGTGGAGAGAGAATAAATTCCTAATTTTTTACTTTAGCTTGATCACATTAAATGTAAATTGGGGGGATATGAGCTATTGAGATATTGGAATGGGGGAAAGTGTTTTCCCTTTTTTACTTCCTCTTTTGTGCAGTTTTAATTGGATTCTTCGTTATTTATAAACACCCCAGAACGCCATCCTTTGCTAGTTTTCTTCCCTCACTTATCTCTTTCTCTTCTTTGCCTTTTGTGTTCCCCTGTTCTTTCCTTTGTTTCTTTTTCCTTTTTTGTAATTTTCTCTCCTTTTTCTTCATCCTTCCGCCCCAAATTCCAGTTTAGAGAATGAACAGGAAGCATGATTTGGATTGAGGACAGAGTAATTAATTTGTTGTGAAGTACTATTCTAGTATCTGTGAATTTAGACAGACAGAGAGTAATGTATTTTATATATTACAAGTGCACATGTATGCTACCTAAATGTGTGTATGTACACATACAAGTGTATATGTATATAATCTTTAACAAATATTTACAGCATGTTTACTATAAAAGTGCCATTGTCCTACACAAATAAGGCCACTGACAATACCCTCAGTTTTATTAATTGACTCAGAGTGGGTGAGGAGTAAATAATTTGTTCAAGATTTCAAAAAAGAGAGCTCAGACATCCACAATGTTCAGTTAAAAACCTTCTCCATGTCACAACACACCAACTGACTTTGTGAAGCAGTTATTCAGTAATGAGAGAAGTGACTTGTACAAAACCTCTTCAAGTTTTCTAATTTTCACTATATCCAGATTTATCCTGACTCATGGCAGAGAATTATGCAAATAGTCTTAAACTGTGAGAAGAAATGCATTTGGCCCAACTGATGTTAAGATTCCCCTATGTTAAGCTAGCAGAGCTTGTCTTTTATGCCTAGAACCTGTTTCTCATTTTTCTGTCTGAAAAGGCTCATCATATTTGTTCTTCTTCCTATCTGTTCCCATTTCTTCTTCACACTGACCCCAATGCTGCACTCAACCTTCTGGTTCCATTTCAGGTTGTGTGGACACTGAAGAAGCAGACATCTACCTGCTCATTGATGGCTCTGGGAGCATTCAGGCCACAGACTTCCAAGAAATGAAGACCTTCCTGTCACAGGTTGTAAAGATGTTCAACATTGCTCCTGATAAGGTGCGGGTTGGGGCCGTTCAGTATGCTGACAGCTGGGACTTGGAATTTGACATCAGTAAATACACTAACAAGCAGGATTTGGTAAAGGCCATTGAGAACATCAGGCAGAAGGGTGGGAGTACCAACACAGGTGCAGCCCTGAATTTCACGCTGGGGCTGTTGCAAAAAGCAAAGAAGCAGCGAGGCAACAGAGTGCCACGTCATCTTGTTGTCCTGACCGATGGCAAGTCCCAGGATAGCGTCTTGGAGCCTGCGAACAGACTGAGAGAAGAGTTCATCCGTGTTTATGCCATCGGGGTCAAGGAGGCCAACCAATCCCAGCTGCAAGAAATTGCTGGCGAGGAGAAGAGGGTGTACTATGTGCATGACTTTGATGCTTTGAAAGACATAAGAAACAAAGTGGTTCAAGAAATCTGTACTGAAGAAGGTAGGAGAATGGCGGCTTTCTTGCACTTCAGCTCACAAATTGCCTTCCTGCGACATTTGACATTGCAGGTTTAGAGAAACAACATAAACTTCCAAGTTGAGACTTGTTGACTTGTGTAGCTGGGTTTGTTTCCAGAACAAAACTGAGGGCCCATTACAGTGTTGTTCTAAATCTAAAAGCATAAAAATGTGTGCTTATTAAAAATACTTATTATTTCCTAATAAGTATTAATGAGCTTCTTCCCACAAACCCCTGCTAGCATGCATGATTAGACACTGTGTAATATGATTATGTGGTTTCTGATTTTAAGGAGTCCTCCAGGTTTATTTCAATTGTTTTTTAATGAAACATTTATGAAATCTTTTAGAGCTATATCAGTAGTTTTCAAACATGGGAGATTCGGTCCCCTCAGGGGACACTTGGCCATGTCTAGAGACATTTTCGGCTGTCATAACTAAGGGAGTGCTAGAGGCATCTAACAGGAAGGGGTCAGACTGCTAAACATTCTACAGTATCCTACAGTGTCCTCCAGTGCATGGGCTACCCTCCACATCAAAAATCACCTGGCCCAAAACGTCAGCGGTGCTGAGGGGGAGAAACCCTGAGTTCTATAATGGATTGAGGTAAATTACTAAACAACAGGATAGGCTCACTTTTATGGCCTCCAATGCTTTATTTACCTGCTAACAATCCTTACCAAGCACACACTTAACTTCAATATAGAATTATTTGTGTGTGGGGTTTTCCTGTTCACACTTAGTTGTTTTTGTTTTTTTTCACATGCAGCCAACTTGAGTAAACCTCTCCCTTTTCCCCATGCAGCCTGCAAAGAGATGAAAGCTGACATCATGTTTCTGGTGGACAGTTCTGGCAGTATAGGATCTGAAAACTTCCGCAAAATGAAAACATTTATGAAAAACCTGGTGAACAAATCTCAGATTGGGGCAGATCGGGTGCAAATCGGTGTAGTCCAGTTCAGCGACATCAGTAAGGAAGAGTTTCAGCTCAACAAATATATGTTCCAAAGTGAGATTTCAGATGCAATAGACCAAATGGATCCCATTGAACAAAACACATTGACTGGTAATGCCCTGACCTTTGTGTCTCAGTACTTCAGCCCCACCAAGGGGGCCCGGCCCAACGTCAGGAAGTTTCTCATCCTCATCACGGATGGTGAAGCTCAAGACATAGTCAAGGACCCAGCAGTAGCACTTCGGCAACAAGGCATAATTATCTACTCTGTGGGGGTGTTTGGCTCCAATGTCACCCAGCTTGAGGAGATCAGCGGGAGGCCGGAGATGGTTTTTTATGTTGAGAATTTTGACATTCTGCAGCGCATTGAAGATGATCTTGTCTTTGGAATATGCAGCCCCCATGAAGGTAGGCCTGGGCATATCCACTAGCGGGACCACCCAAACAGTATGTATCCATTGTTAGTCATTATTTCCTGAATTAAGTAGACTACTATTTGAACATTGTAAACTTTTTGTTTAATTGAAATGTTTATCCTAGTGGCTTTTGTTCTACATATAAAATGCAGCTTTCCCCAATAGAACTGTTGAATTAATTTTGGGAACAATTTTGGTCCACTTTGATTTGTTCCCATTTGTAAACGAATAGCACTAGGTGATGAGGCATCCATTTAAGAAAAGTGGTATCATAGTGGGTCTTAGGTCAGGCTCCCTAGAGGCAGAAGCTGAGTCAGGGATTCCTGTGGAAGTGGTTTACTGAGGAGGTGTTTTCAGAAGGGGAGTAAGGAAAGCAGGACAGTGCATGGGTAGGAGCTAAGCAACGATGTGGTCTTAGCTGGAGTCTAGCTTCAACATGATCCCATGGGAAACTCTCTAGCATGAATTCTACCACTGAATTTGTTCCACCTTGAGGTGAAGGGCCCAGCCAGCCTCACACAACCTGAGTCTTTGGGCTATGTGTGGGCTGCCACGGCAGACAATAGAGGGGCATAACCTGCTGGGCAACATAGTTCCTCTTTGGCTTAACATTCATTATATGTGTTGGTTTTATAGTTTTTATTATAAAAACCATTATTTATATAAAATGAGATAATGTTTATGAAAAAAACCTAAGGAACTGGTTTATACTGTGACCCACCAGGCTTAATGACAGAAGAATTCTGAAAAATATCTATGAAGGAGATGGTCTTATGGAGTTTTAAGT